ATTTGTTGCTATCTGATGATACTGCCAACCTATTGTATAGTCACATGGTACCTCAGAGGGTTTGGCAAGGCTTAACACAGGGAAAACGTTGGCCGAATGACCGCTGACATCAAAGAAACCTCTGTCAAAGCTTTAGCCATATATAATTTGAATTGAAAGTAATTCCGAAAATGCAATTCATAATGTGATGCCGTTGAAAAAGGTCTAACCCACCAGTACGGTCGATGTAACGGTCAGCTGCCCGTACCAGTCACTCAGGCAGCCTGCACCTTGTTCCCTCCCCCGATTGGATAGGGATAGGATGCCTTGTTAGGGGCCAGGTAGCCAAGAACCTCCAGGACGCACCTTGCCAACTTGCCAACTTGCCAAGTTGAACCCTTGTTCTTCCTGTGCTTTACCCTTAAAGATGGGGGCCCTTGTGAAGCAGCTGCCCGCGTTTCCAAAGCACGTATGGTGATGTGGAAGGTGCAGAAGTACGTCGGTGAAATATAATGTGGTAGGACTGGAGAGAATAGTGTAGCAGTATAATGTATTGTGAGTGTAGCTGAAGCTTTCATCGTGGGCGCGTCTCGTTGCAAGCTAAGCAACGCGTATACATGACGTGTAGCATCAGTCCTCAGTTCACTTCTTGTAACGAACATCAGCATAGGTCCAAGCCCTCTCGCTTGGAGGGATATATGCAACAAAACATCCTGATAGGTAAACTCGCATGCTACCGAGCATTCAACCGAGCACATGCATGCTTAGTTGAATGGTGAGATGCGACCCCCCTTCATTTCGTGCTCGGCAAGCCTGCCACCGCGTACCGGATATGTTGGCGATGTTACAGAGACGCTGCACCTTGGTTTCTGTGCGCAATGCATACGATGCTCGACCCCGCCGACCAAAACTACACGTGCCCAACTGAAGACACACCGGTGGTTGTGCAGCAGCTCTTGAGGCTTTGTTGGCTGAAATCCATCCTGAGACGCTGCACCTCGGTACCTGTGCGCAATGCGTACGCTGCTCGCCCGCGCCGACCAAAACTACATGTTCCCATCTGAAGACAATGCCGGTGGTTCTTAAACAGAATTTGAGCTTGCTGCTGGCTCAAGTCCTTCCGTAGTTGCTGCAACACGGCTAACGCAGGCACGGCCGAATGCGCTGCGAAAAGCTGTTCCAAGCCCTCAGCGGCATCCATTTTACTTGCAAGGTTCTGAACGACTTTCGCGATTCTTCTCTTTACCTAATTCTGCGTTGTTATTATTTATTTCGTAAGAGTGTAACTTGAGTTTAGTGGGAACAATGTGCATTATGCGCTGCGCTACCCAGTGTTCGGGCCGAAACGGAAACCTGCCGAAACGGAAACCTGCCGAAACGGAAACCTGCCGAAACTAGTTTCGGTGATTCCGGCGAAGAGGTCCTGGTTCTGCGGAAATGCCGAAACTAGTTTCGGCCCCTTTCGGCTAGCGCCGTACGGCGGAACCTACTTTGAATAGTTTCAAAGTGAAGGCACGTTGTGCAAGGCTGCGAAACTCTGCGAATGTTGAGTTTATCTTATCAATGTCTCAGACAACTTCCGTTGTCAGTGCAGACACAGATTCGGTCAAAAACAAGGGCGGAAGGACCGCTGATCAGACCGTTTGGGCTCACTTTGAGAAGAAAAAATATAATGCAAAATGTAAGAACTGGACTATCATCTGCAAGTACTGCCGGACCGAGTCCAAGCAAGGGCGCCTTCAGGAGATGCGCGTCCATATCGCGCAAAAGTGCCCCCGGAGTGCCTTCGGACACACATGAGCAGGTCCCATGAGGCGCAAAGGCACATAGGGCCCACGAACAACGTTTGCATACCATGGACGTCATAAAATACAGCATTTACAGGGTTTCGGCAGGTTCCGGCAGGTTCCGGCAGGTTCCGGCAGGTTTCGCAGAAGGGTCCAAAAAACGGAAACTATTTCGGCATTGGCAGTAAGGTTTCGGCCCGTACACTGGCGCTACCGAAAGCAGGCGCCTTATGGCTGATTCTTCGCCGACCGCTTCATCTTCCGCGGCAGTTTCACGAGCCCAGTGTTGCAAGCTATGACGTAGGCTTTCGGTGCTTTCAGATACTGCAAAGCAGCCACACAATAGTCCAGCCTGCATGCCGGGTGCGACTATGGCCAACAAGACCACCTGCGCAATGCGCTGGCGCACCTTCAAGAAATTTATATACACTTGTACAGGCGCATTTTGTGAATCGCACGCGCGCAT